TTAAATGTCATCGTTACCTTGATAGTGTTATTGGAAGTCATAATGTTATAAATGTATAGAAAAAGAATATCTACATAATTGACAAAAATAAAACGCATAGACAAAAGGTTAGAGTAAAAAACTTGAATTAGACTTAGATTTAAAGATTTATGATGATGAAAAAGAATTGGCTTTAGGTTGTGTTAGCTTTATTTTTATATTTATTTTTTTTAAATATGAATTTTGGTTATCCGTGGATATCCGAAATCTTAATATTTCATTCCATATCCGATCTGGTTTGTTCTTATATTCGATCCAAAATATTCAAAAGCTAAAATATCAAATCTGATATCCATTTTATTGGATTGGATCGGCTCAGGTTGTGGACGAATTCTTCAGATCGGATATTTTTGAAGACCCCTAGTTTGGGCAAGTGAGGTAGTGGAGTGTTCAGGCCCCGGTGTGAAGATGTGAGATGCTTATGGTGGTGGGCGGGAGTAGAGAAGTTAGTAGACATCAGAAGGATTGGAAGGCGTGATTAGATTAACCTAAGACTTTTGGTCTTTATTGAAGATATAACCTTAGATCGTCTGGAGAGCTAAGACTAAGGTAGTCGGGTAGGCTTTTGGGCTTGGCAGTGATCCTTGCAGTTTTCATTTTGTGCTTTGCTTGTGCTTTCTGCTTTTTTTCTTTTTTCGTTTGTTAACCTTAGTATGCTCTTTGTTAGTTTTTTTGTTCTTTGTGCTTTCGATGCTCCCTATACCTGCCTGGGTTATTACTGAAGCTGAGAGTCTCTTGGAAACCAACCTCCTTAATTTCGAATAGGGATAAGGTGTGCGTGCAACTCTTGTGGGACCCAACTCGGTTGTTGGCATGGGAATATGAAATAAAATTTATATATTACAAAAATACATCAAAAGTTCTGCCAAACAAGACGTAACTTGACTATATTATTTTATCAAATGAGTAACTAAAATAGACAAAAAAAAGTAGAAAATGTTTGACGATGTGAATCGGTGAATAGTGAAGGGAAACTTCATTTTCGGATGGAGGCAGTACTTTAGTATGAAATATGATGTGATAACAATAATTTATGCTATTATGTCTTTCTTATTCGTCCTTTTTAGTATATAAACTTATCTTTTTAATTGAGTTTTTTGCCATCTCGTATTGTTTTTTATTAATTAAAATTACTCTCTCCATCCCAAAAAACATTTCCACATTCGATAAAGTTTGTATTTAAGGAAGGTGTAATTTGGGTGATACTTTCTCATTTTGCCTAGTATGTTATTGGTGAATTAATAGCAAATAGGTATGATGTGATAGGTATATTAATGATAGTAATAGGTCTAAATAGGTGATTTTAGTATAAGAGGAAGATTTTTTGGAAGGAATGGAAAAAGAAAAATGAAATATTTGTGGGACGAGTGGTGTATATATTTAAACTTTCTATATTACTACCTCCGTCCTAGAGTATTTGTCCACTTTCATTTTTACACACCATCCAATACACTTCTTTAATCCATTTTATCTTGTAATTTGTATATTAAAAAATTATAGAAATTTTATATTAATAATCTATATGTTAAGACAAATCAAACAAGATCACACATGACTATATTTAGACTTACACATTGAGAGAATTTGATGAGTCAAAGTGCTTAGATGAACAGTTCAAAAAGTCAACAAAAGTGGACGAATACTCCGGGACGGAGGGAGTATTTATAATATAGGTATATATATTTAAAATTTATTTGAAAATTCAAAAGAAAATACTTGAATTGCTTTGATATATATTTCAATATGTTTATTACTCCGTGTGTCCCATAAGTTTCTTTGCATTTTGACTTGACACTGTTTTTAATGTAAAATAAAATTTACTTCGACTTTTCAGAGTTGCCCTTCACTCTTCTGCTCATCCGTCCCTTTACTTTTGAGTTTCATTACATAGCAAAAAAGTACACAGCAAATTTCTTTGAATCTGAAGGCCAACCTCCAAAAAATAAAAGTAATTTTTTTCAATGTGCAGGAAATCTTCTTCTCGTTCTTTAAATTAGGGAGATTTTATCCCCTTCCAAAGCTCCGTTTCATCATCACAGTAAATTTACATAAAAATTAACAGCAATGTACAACAAATTTACTAAAATCTGAATGCCAACCTCCAAAAAAATTACAGCAAAACTCCAAGAATCTGAAGGCCAGCCCCTATAAAATAAAAATAAAATCTTCCAAGAAAGGATTTCTGTGAAAAACTTATCAATCTAACTGAAAGTCAAAGATTTCAAGGAAGGACTCATCTTCTTCAGATCTGGATGCTTCATTGCAGCGATTGGGTGTCGACGACGAATTAAGATTTGGAATCGAGATGAAACAAGTTTGGACACATCTGGTCATGAAAGCCTCGTCGCCACCTTTCACCGTCGCACTTAGCTTTTGCCCCATCGCCACCGTTCATATCTCGAAGGCTCGAAGCTTTGTCGCCGCGCAAGACGAGGAAGGTGAAGCAGAGGGAGGGTGTGTGAAGAAGAATAAGAAGAAGAAACAAGGAAAAAAGAAGGTAGGTGGGGGGGGGGCATATGAAGAAGAAGAGGGAGTTGGAACTTATGAGATGAGGGATACAATAGTCTTTGGTGGGGTTTTTTATTTCCAAATTAGGAAACATAAAAAAAGATATGAGACCGTCCAGAAAGGAAAGTGTGAAGAAAAATATGGGACGGAGGGAGTGTTACTTAATGCAAGATGTAAGTGCTATCATAAGTTTTAGCATTCTAAAAATAAATGCTTATAACCTGGCTAGTCGACCCGAACCTGATGACATTGGTCAATGGTCATGTATATGCATTTCCTGATCCAAACCCGAACATGAAGTTATCCAAACCAAAATCCAACTTGTTTCCCAGCTGTTGGAAGGGTTGCCTTTTTTAGTCATTAATTTTAGATGTAGCAAACTAGGAATGTAGGATTAAAACGGTTAGGTGTAGGATTGAGACCAGTCTAGTACTACCAACTTGACAAATATTTATAGACTGGTTCGTAATTTTAAAAATATACCCCCGTCCCAATTTAAATCGCCTGTTTCGATTTACGATATTTGATCGAAGTTATTTTCAAATCATTTTATATAAAAATGGTCTAGAATTAAGAAATAAAAATTACATATTTAAAAAAACTACATCAAAAGATCTACAAAATTGACCATATTATTTTATCAAATGACTAACAAAAATAGAGAGAGAAAGTAAATGAAGTTTTACCCTATGAATAGTAAACATGCAATTTAATTTGGGACAAAAGGAGTACTAATCTACAAAAACAACAAAGTTGTATCCGATGAGAGTAGGGTCTAGGGAGGGTGTGTGTACCTTGCCCCTACTCGAAACTAGAGACTCAGTTTTCTAGAGATCCTCGGCTCAAGGTGCACAGATAAAAATCACACTGTACATAAAGTAGAGAAATCACTGCTCAGAGAACACAGAAGCAAAGAACAAACTAGAGCTAACGAAGGAAAAGTAATGCATTCAAACAACACCAAGCATACAATGCATACAAAGCACACATCAACAAGTACAAGAAATTATCCCTAGTGTAAGATTCCTATCCAACTACTCCGATTATAGCTCTCCAAATGACCCTCTCTACACCTTCCCCTGATCCCACCCATCAAAGTAAGCCTCTCCAATCTCCGCATTGGGGCATCAGCATTCCGGTGCTTCACATGCCCAAACCACCTTAACCTCGTTCCCGCAGCTCATCTTTCCACAGATGCCACACCTACCCAACTTCAGATAACCTCGTGCCCAAAAAAATACTAATCTATATACATCAATTCCATAACTATACCGTGTAATACTTTACATTATTCATCCCAAATTTATAAATATTAGTGTTGTATAGTAAAATAATGAAATGGGGAGGCAGTGAAGAAGATAGATGAGGTGAAGTTTTTAATCTTTTTTATTTTTTGTTACTCCCTCCGTCCAACAACTATCTTTACGTTCACTATTTTTGTTTTCTATTTGATAATATAATATAGTCATGTCACATCTAGTTTTGTAGAGCTTTTAATGTAGTTTTAAATATGTAATTTTCATTTTTTAAATTTTCACTATTTTTCATATAAAATGATTTGAAAATAAATCAGTCAAACATCGTAACGCGCAATAGGAAAATAATTATTGGACATGAGTATTAAATAAAATGAATAATAATAATGAACAAAGTGAAAAAAATTAAAGTTGTTTGGAGCTGTGGACCGATCCTAATCGGACTACCCGATCACAATGAGTTTTCTAATTTTCTTTGATGATTGGACCAGTCTAGAGCAACTATTGAAAATGACCATCCATACCGATTATTGAATAGTACCAGTTTGTTTGGAGGATCGGTTCGGTCTTTATGCTCATCATTAGTGAGACCCAGAGAGGAAGCGTTGCCACAGCCTTGCTCTATATATTACTCCGTATTTGTTAATGTTTTTGACAAGAAAAATGGGGTTTAAGGGTGCCTTCACTCAGGCATGCTCCGGACCTCGCCTCCTCTCGGTGGGAAAAGTGGCACCTTTGGGCCTAGGTGATGTCCTTTTCACCTTTTGGTCCTCTTGTTTGAGGTTTGTGCCTTTCACAAGAACGCTTACCACTTCTGGCAGATTCTTTTTGATGCACCACAGAAGTTTTTTTATTTGTTTACCTACTCCGTATTTTTTTTCTTCTAAAAATTAGAAGCCTGATGCAGTGCAGATTACTTGAGACTTACATTACAACCTGAGTTTTTTTTGGCACATACATACTACGGAGTACATCTTTAGGATTTTGCAGAATTCACAAGTTCTTTCTGTGTATTTTTATTTCTTAATAGATTCTTATTAATTTTTTACTGTCTCTACCCAGAGAAGAGTATTATATTTCTCAAGTTTAATAATCGAAGGCATCCTATCTTTTCTGACCGGACGAACACAAGAACTTCCTAGCTACTTATCGCCTTTTAATCAATTTTGATGAGCGAAGTATTGATTTTATTTTCAGGTATCTGGAACGCATGGTAAATACATTGGAGGAAAAGAAACGTCATGAAATTAAACTGAAAGATGGATTGAAGGACCTGGCTTCTAAGCACATGGAACTGCAGAATTCTTTGTCTTCATCCTGGCCAAAACAAGTGAGTTTGTGTTATTTGACTTTGACAGAGAACAAAAATGAAAGGGCATCTTGTAATTGTTGGTCATCTAGATGCCCGTAAAGTGTGGTTCAGAGGATTATTAAGGTTGGCGTTCATAAAAACCTTTGATAAGAGTTCCTAGAGACGCAGTATTAAGGTTGTAGAGTTCCTGTAGGGTCTGCGTTTGAGTGCTATAGCTTGTTTCTTTTTCATTTTTCTTATTTCGACTCACTCTTTGCATTTGTAGAGCTAAGGTCTTCAAACTTCTTGCCCGCCCACTGGATCATACTCATTTTTGGATGGGATTTACTGAGTTTGTTTTTATTCTGTTTGGTTTTATATAATCCTAATTGACATGTTTGTAATGCAGGAAGCAGTTGTCGTGAGAAGCAGGAAGTTGAAAGAGCTTTGCGAGAAGACGATTTCATCCATGTTTGATGGGCGACCTGTGAATATAATAGGAGAGATTAATACGTTGCTGACAACTAGTAGTTCAAGTGTGTGATTCCCCCATGCACTGGCCAAACTCTTCATATACTCTGTATTTTGTTTCAAATGTCTGTGACAAACTAAGATGCTAGAAACTGAAAAAAGAATAACAACCGCATTATATATAGATTCTTTGACAATTCCGTTACTACGGAGTATATCGTATCCGGACTGGAATTCGGCCCAGGTTAAGTGATCGTGTTGTGTCACTTGTATGCAGTTGCGTTTTTGTGGGTACAAAACATTTAAAGCAGTGGAAGTGGGCATAACACCTTGCGCGCTTAATGCGTTTTTAACTCCGCTAGACCGTTAAACACCACCTTCTTCCATCGTCAAACGGGTGTTAATCTAGTTGCATAAAATGTTTGACGCCCCTCCCCCCAACGGTCTAATTTTAGGTTGTTGCCCAAATTTTAAAAAAAGTTTTATTTTTATTTTTTCAACTACAAATACCTCATTTAAAAAACGCACAACATGTTCTCATTTTCTTTATAATTCTTCCAAAATATATTCTCTTTCTTTGAATTCTATCTACAAAATACCCAAAAAATGGAATCTTTGTTCATCTGACGATGAAAGAAAAGCCCTCTTTTTTCGTTTTGTGACGAGCAGTTACCAATGGCATCAAGCACAATAGGAGGAAGCGGAATCATCCCAATGTTCAACCCAATGTGAGCGTTTAAACCGTGACTGCGTGGCTGCACACGAAGTACTACTCAACAACTACTTTAATACTCAGTGTGTTTACACACCGAAGAATTTTAGTAATCGTTTTTTTAGATGAGCCGTTCTTTGTTTTTTACACATATTCGGTGATATTGAAGCAAGGTGCCTTGGTTCACTCCACGCTTCGATGCGAGAGGCTGTCGTAGTTTTAGCAACGTCTAAAAGTGCACCACCGCACTTCATCAAATGGCGTACGAGACGACTAGTGATATGTTCGATGAATACTTAAAGATGTCAGCTCAAAACATCAGATCATGTGTTTATATATTTTCTAAAGCAATTATTCGACTTTATCATAAGAGATATTTACGTAAGCCAACGACGAGCGACATTGAACACTTACCTGCGAGGGATGTCGCTAAACACGGCTTTGTCGGCATGCCTGGGAGCATCGATTGCACGTATTGGAAATGGAGAAATTGTCCCATTGTGTGGTATGGTTAGTTGTCCTGGGGTGATCATCTCAAGCCTACTATTATGCTCGAAGCTATGGCTTCAAATGACTTAAGATTTTGGCATGCTTTTCTTGGTCTTATGGGCTTGAACAACGACATCATTATTCTTGATCAATCACCTATTTTTGACGATTGGGTTAAAGAGTCTATACCCGACTAGTCTTTTGAGCTTAAACAGATGCTTTACAACCGTGGATATTATCTTACCGACAAAATATATATCCACTTTATTCCACAATTGTCAAGTCCCTCTTGAAATCAATGGCTCTTAAACGCTAGACCTACAAAAAGCTCGTGAGGCGGCGAGAGGATATTAAACAAGCTTTCGGGGCATTGAACGATAAGTGACACATTATAAATCGTCCATCCAAGTGTTATTCTCGAACAAAAATGAGGAATGTCATATACGTATGTATTATTCTTCGTAATATGATTATGGAGAACAACGTGTTTGCAATTTGTCATTACAATCCGGACGAGGAGGTGCCTACATACGAAGAAATCGACGAGGAAACTGCCAAAAAATTTGAAGTCAAGAGATTCAGAATGCACTAACGGTTGAATTGATTGAACATATTTTTAGTCGCTCAAATAATCAGTAATTTCTTCGTAATGTAATATTTATTTAATTTTTTATTTATGTTGTTATTAAACTTTTTATCAATGTAATTTTTTATTTAAAGAATTATTTCTGTTTGAATTTAATTAGTTATTTTTACAATATGTGTATTTAAAAAATTTAGAAAATAAAAGTTTGAAGCCTCAGTTTGATAGCCTCATGGCTTCAAATCTATTTCTAGTGAAACTGTGAGGTAAGTTAAAGGAAATTAATATATATATATATATATATATATATATATATATATATATATATATATATATATATATATATATATATAAAATTTGTTTTGTCAAAATATAATTATCATATAATTAAAATGATACAAACAAAATATAATTTTAAAATATATATGTATTTTTCAAAATACAAATATGTATATAAAATTATCACTACATATTTAATATTTCTCCCACTAGTGTAGTATGTTACTCCCTTACAAGTCCTAAGTGTGTGACCCTTTAGGTATCCATAATACTGGCAATGATATTAACATAAATTAATACCATAGATAATAAGCAATATCTAGCAACACATTATTACCCTAGATTATGAAAAAGACGTTCATCTCATCAATACCGTCTACGACACTTGAAGTTCTATAACCATTATCCTTTTGTCCTATATGTCACGATCCAACACAAGGCATGGGATGTGTTTCCTTGTATAGTTGAATCAACGGTTACTGAATCTCAAGTAGACTGGCAGGGATCCGATATTTATCGGTCTCTAGATAGCAACATATCTGGGCATGGCCATGCACTTTCCCAAGTCCTACCATTCAGTGGGCCCATTGATATTATACTTCTATACAGTAGAAGGGATAGATCTTATATCTGTTACTAACATATCTAAATATGCTTAGCGGCATACCCAACGCATAACTTTACGTCTATCAGTATTTCAGATAGCATTAGTTATGAATCAAAGCATACGGCCCCACATATCAAAGAATGTAATAACTTCAAGTCTTAGGATAGTTATTGCAAGGCCGAATCGAGAATACTGATAAACACATTACTGTAGATCCATGTAGTATTCTCAAGGTGGGTCAATCCAGTCACATATTATCAATATAATATGCACCTACGTACAGATTAAGATATCACAATACCTATAGTAAATGAGATGCAACTATCTCATCTCGTACGTACTAGTCTTGATACGTTATGGCGTTCATATTATCATAAAGTGCGACTAGGGATATTCTAGACTTAGCCTTCGTCAAGAAGTAACAGTCTCGTAATCAGAAGATCGTAGTCCTCATCTATGTTACTAAAGCGCTATCGTCAATGGACTAAAGCAATGTTATGTTACACAAGATATAAAACATACTTCAAGGCCTTTCATTCATGATAAAGTGTACAGTTACATATGTATTTGATTGCCGCCAGGGTACCTAAATAGAACACAACTTTGGATGCCCCAACCTTCAGTCCAGTCCACGATCGCCACGTGTTATTGTTGTGTTGCCTCAAAGCTACCTAGGGCTCCAACTTGGGGCGTCCAAGTTAGGGAGTCCATGTTGTATGCCCCAACCTTGGGTTCCAGATCCTTTGTGATTTTCAGTCTAATTCTTGCTCAATGTCACATCTTTTGGTCCCCAAATACTGATTTTGACCTCCCGGAAGCGTGTTCCCGCAACGATTCCAAATCTGTAGCTTTTTTCTCTAATATTTGGATAGAAAATTGATAAATGTAGTCACATTAACTTGGAACTCTTTTAAATCCTTCTTAAAATAAAACACACGTTTTATTTGTAATAAACCTTGTTTATGATTTGATTTATTAATATGTAAATGCAAAAAAGTTTAAAATATGAAGAATAAATTAAGAACGGAACAAACTTATCAGTTAGTGATAGGATAATGCGTACCTGGAGAACGAGACAAGCCAAAGAAAGGAGCAATGGAGTCCATGGTTTGAGCCATGTGACACATGGAATCAGACAAATGAGAGGGAGGACAATGATCATGAATATGCCAGAGGGAGGGGGTGGCGACGGTGGACTTCCTGACGTAGCACTCTCTTCGTCATTGTGTAATGATGTGTCGGCCACCCTAGGGGATGTGATGGGCTGAGGGCTGGGCAGGGGTATTTCGACACAGGTAGGGTATGGCAGATGTGTAGGCATTTCAACTAGGAAGTGAACACTAGCCTGATGATGATTAGGTTGGTGTTTAAAAGGGAAAGGGAAATACTGGTTCGTCAAATGAAATATTGTGAGTATGAAAAAACAATGAGAATCAAGATCATAAACTCGCAACAAGTGACATCACTTCTCCCAACAATAAGAAAGGGCCAAATGGCTCTGAAATAATCATCAACAATTGTGAGAAAGTAATGTGCCCTAGTAGAAAACAAGCAGAATAAGGACCATATAAATTACAAATGAATTAAGTCAAATAATGACTTGACTTTATTAATACTTTGGAGAAACTTGAGCGAGCCTATTTAGAATAAAAAATCTCACAAGATTGTATTTTCTTCAGTTCATTACTTTTTTTTAGTAAATTGGGGCAACAAATGGATTCGAGGTGAGGGATGACCAAGCCTTGAGAGGCATGAGTGGTGGTGGAGGAATGCATGAGACACTTTTTATTTTGTAGCATGATCCTCTATCACACAATTTTTTTAAAAAAATATAGGACAATTATTTGAGAGAATGAGACATCCAACCGATATAAGATTGCACTTCAAATCTAGGATGGATAAAACATTATTCAATTCAAAGTCAACATAAGAGACAAACAAACACTCCCACAAGAATTAGCCACAACCCAGCACCATCCCATAAACTTGTGGTGCAAGAAGGCCTAGAAACAACATAAAAATGCAAGACAACATCCCTGTCATATGGTGAGAAGTTCCACTGTCAATGAGCCAATCATAGGGAATATAAGGTGTCTTGGAGTGTATAAGGATGTCATCGATGAACACTACCACACACACACAAATGTAACAAGCAGTTTTGCAAAGGGCATTAGGGATAAACATTTCATTCGAGTGTAATTAGGGATGTGCACCAGTCTGTTGGACAATGTGCTATCATGAATATATATTTTTGCAATGTCCTTTGCCCATTGTCTTTTAGGTTTTGATAATGACAAAAGGGTGACGAAACATCATCATCATATTGTGCATCAAGGCTAAGAATCAAAGCTACAACAAGTTCATATTCGTCCGTGAAGAAGGGACTTGAGCATCAGTAGAAGGAACGAGACCAAAGAGGTTGTTTCCTTAGTTGGGTAGTGTTTTAGGTCTTAGATTATGTGTTAAAGAGTATGGCATCTCTAAGGTTCATTCCCTTATCATCCTACCTTTAAAACACATTTTAGATCAGCCTTTGTGTGGGGAAGTTGCCTTTCTATTCGAATAATCTTTAGTTTATTCGAATAAGTCGTGATCTTTCCTGTGACCGACCTGATTTATTCGAATAAATCCCCACTTATTCGAATAAGCCCTGGTTTTTCAACCTGATTTATTCGAATAAATCACCATTTATTCGAATAGGAACTGGTTTTTCAAGCCACGCGATTGATCCAAACTATTCGAATAGTTCTTGAGTTATTCGAATAAGTCGACAGTTTCAACTACCAAACGACTAGTTTTTTGAATGCTTTTCATCCCTATCCACTCCCTAACTTCTATAAACTATATACTTTCGTGATTATCTTCATAAGAGCACTTTGAACACTTTGAAGAAAATATTCTTTGAATATCCAAAGAGATTCTACTCAAACCCCTCCTTATATCCAAGCAAGGTAATTGTTTTGATTGCTAAATCATTTCTTGCTCGAGTTTTTTCCTCATTGCTTGAGTCTTTGAGAGATATTGCCATATTCTAAAGGACTTCATTGTATTTGCAACAATCTACTCCGTGTTGGGAGAATTACTCGGCTGCGGTTTGTTTTCTTACTTTATTGTAAGGGATTTGTATTCTTGGTGTTGGGATTACACCAAGTGGTAGAAATCCTAACGGTTTGTGAAATCAAACGTTAGGTGGAAGAAATCCCGAGTTTTGTGAAATCAAAACTTTGGTGGTAAGATAAGAGGCTTGTGAAATCAAGTTCTCGAGTTGTATTTGGATTGTCAAACTTCGTTAAGTTTGACGGGTTAGTAAAGGCCTGGGCACGTTTGCTTCAGGGACTGGATGTAGGCATTTAGGCCGAACCAGTATACATCGTGTGTGCATTGCTCTTATCCTTCACTTTATTTTGTTTGTGGTGCATTGTTTTTTTTGAATATTTGTGAAGAACGTTTCCGCGCAAAAAAACCGGTCTTTTGGACAACACCTCTATTCACCCCCCCTCTAGATGTGTGCGAGGCGTCTAACACAGTCCAAAACCAGATCGAAACCGGTTAGGACCGGAACCGGAATCAGACTTTCTTAAGACCAGAGACCGGACCTGATGGTTACCGGTCCGGACCGGTCCGGACCTGAATATTCCGGTCCGGTCCGGGTTTACCCTAACATGGACTAGATTATTGTATTTGTTTGAACTTATACCAAAAAGTACTCTATAAATCCACAATAATATAATAGAAATCAATAAAATAAGAAATGTAATAAATTAGGAGTATTAACAAAATTCATACTAATCTGAAAACAAATGGGCTGGCGAACGAGATGTAGATGACGAGAAGGAGATGCAGCTGACGGCTGGCGACTGGCGAGAATGAGAAGGCTGGCGACTGGCGACGGCTGTAGTTTTATTGCGAGATGCGGCTATGGTCTCTGGTCTCCATTGGCGAGATGCGGCGAAGGAGTCTGGGACTAGGAGGAGCCGACTAATGAAGACACGAAGTGACAAGATTACGAGAACAAGATGCTGGGGCTCAGGTCTTAGGTTTGTTTAATTGGACTTGGACTGGATAATGAGTGTTGGGCTACGATAGTTGGATACTTGGATTAGTGGATAGGAATAATAGGATAGGTATAAAAAATTAAAAATAATAATGTATTTAATAATTCCGATCCAGACCGGAACCCGGAATCTAAAATTTATTAAGACCAGAGACCAGATCTGATTACTCCGGGTCGGTCCAGACCGGTCTATTCCGGTCCGGTTCTGGTCTAATTTCCAGTCTAGACCAGTTCCTGTACACCCCTAAGTGTAATGTACATTATTTCAAACTTCGATCCATTTATGAAAATCTAAAGGATTTTTATAAAACAAATATGTCACTAAATAGCTTGACCCCACTAGGGGCTGTAATTTTGTGGGGCAGCGGAAATTAGCAAATTAGAGCTATGCAAACAAATCAATTAAATAGGCTGCTGAGAAGATTTTGTAGTACTATCACATTAATGTTGGAACACACTTTGTATGATAAACTAAAGTCGTGTTCATTTCTGACAGGTTTTGATAATTGCCAAACCGGCGTGGATATAAAGAGTTTCGTTGAATAACTCAAGGCGTGAAGAATGGCTTGGAACAAGACCTAAAAGACTCAAGGACAAGATCAAGAATTGAAGACTTAGTCGAGTCGGTCTTTTGTGATCAAAACCGACAATATATTCAAGTCTCGGTTCTAAAAAAGTCAAAACAATTTTTACAAACCATAAAATATTTTTTGTGCATCAAAACAAACATTTTTGATGACTTCTTTTATTGTTAAAATCCCTGGTCCTTGCTCAGAACCAAAACCACCTAAGTCGGCGTTCGGCTTTCGGCGTTCGGTTTTCGGCGTTCGGTTTTTGGCGCCCGAACCAACTCCGTGGTTTTCAATATTTTAAACCCTGTTTTTACCTCTGAGCATTTTTAAAAT